CACACACACACACACACACACACACACACACACACACACACACACACACACACACACACACACACACACACATTGTTCAGGTAAAGAGAGGAGCACGTTAAGCATAAATCATGTTATGTTTATTGAGGTAAATTACATTTTCATCACAGAAGCCAAGACAAATGTCCTTAAAGTTGCATAAAAATTAGAAGAAATCACACATTAAAACCTATATGGTCACCCTAAAATCAGTTTAGATCAAGTTTAGAAATAAACCAAATAGATCATATGCAGAAGGCAAATACACATAAGTATGAAAGTGTGTTTATATCATATATGCTATCTGCTTGCTGTCATTACTTTAAAATGGATTCATCTTTTTTGTTGTTGTTTGTTTACAAATAAGTCCTCCTTAATAACTATGTAAAAACTGTATTTTGAGTTTTAATTCTTTGTTTTATCAAAATGTTAAAGACTTAATTTCTCATTTACAGTACTGATAAGCCTCAGATATACACCTCGCTTTGCTTCCACATTTCTTGGGGAAGAACATTTCACTCTGACCTTATACCTGTTAGATAGTGGTCTGTGCCATGGTTTTGTGATCCTGAAGCTGCAGTTTGGAGCCCAGGGTGTGTCAGGAAAGGTAAACAATTGCCAAATCTTTCATGCATGTTTGCTTGCTGTATTGACCCCTGCAGAAGGGGGCAGCTGAAAAAAAAGCAACAATAATATACTTGTTAGGTAGTTGCAATGATGGTAAACTAGAGGCAAGCCTGGGATCTTAGGTCAGTGGACGTTTTGGTCATTCATTTTTCATTTTAAAAACAAATACTGAAAAATGGATGGTTATTCTGCTTTCATATTATACTCCAAAAAACTGAAAAATGGTTCATCTTTTTATTTTTTCTCAAACCAGAAGTTCAGCACCGTCATTAAGGCAACTCAACGCTGTCATGAGGAACCTTGTGCAGCTTTAAGTTCCTCACCATGGACCTCTTGGAGAAAGGCTTCATGTGCTAAAAGCAGCAGAAGCTCCAGGAAACAGTTCTGATTAGTGATGCACAAACTATCAGCCTGTTAAAGAAATGTCAAACTAGTCAGGTAGCAATTACTCATTGTTTGGTTAGCTAGTTAGAAAATAAAACCTGTTTATTCATCCCATAATCAGACTATTTAAGGTGGAGCTAGATAAATTATTTATTTTAAAGAAATTAGCTAGAGTAGCAATGTAAATAAAAAAGTACATTATGCAGTTAAAGAAATGTAAAAGTAGCTATCTAGCATTTATTTATTTACAAGCAGCACCTGTTATTGAAAAGTTATTTAACTAGCTCCTGGTCTGAGACTGACAATGTTAAGCTTCCAGTTTGAGAAAAATTAAACACGGACCATTTTCCTGTTTTTGGAGTATAAAATGAAAATACTGTAGATAACCATCCCTTTTCCGTTTTTCAGTATCGGTTTTTAAAATGAAAACAGAACCGTTTTTCATTTTTTAATACTGGTTTTTAAAACGAAAATTGACTGACCAAAAAGTACAAGGACCATCTAAGCCCTCAAAACAGTTTTAACTAAGAATTCCCCTGTTTTTATCTTCTTCAGTCTTAGTCACATAAAAATGTTTCTATAAAATGTTAAATGCTACTTTTTGTTTGCCTGTAGGACTCTTAATATTGAGGTGATGCTCAGTTTTTGTTCTTGCTTTTATCTACACACGCTGTTACGTGTTGTGTTTGATTAAACAACTGAGTGTTGCTCAGATAGTTCTTCATTCAACTCCACTAAATAAATGGTTGCTCAGGGTGTCTCATTCAGTGGCTCTGCTGGATTCATCTGAGTGACGGTTCTAATCGTTAAGTTGGGTTACAACAGTCCAAGAAATCATTTCACCTAGATGTCACAAATGGCTAATTAGGTATTAATGAATTTAATATTAAGATTTTTGTGTTGTAGTTGGAAATACAAGCTTTACTGACTCTGATTTTTGTCCTCTTGAAAAATTACAGAGCACAAAATATTGGAAACTAGCCTCACTAACCTCACATTTCACTTTCAACTGCAGTTTTCTTAAAAAATGTTTTAAATCCACCAATTTGCTTTTCAAATTCTTGTTGCTTAAGAAATTTCTACAGTTCTTTTCCCAAATTTCTGCCTCAACCCAGTCTTGTTTCACACATCCATAGATGTTTCGCTTGACCTCATCACTCACTAATGTGAGCCTTTTTGTGGACAAAAATGCGCCTCCTGATTACAATTAATTTCATTAGGCACAGGGTGGACTCTAATCAAGTTGTAGAAATGTCAAGGATCACTGATAGCAGTGGGACGCTCCAGAACCTAATTGCGGATGTCATACAAAGACTTTGAAATGCTCATTCAAACAAAATGATTCACTCTTTCGCCATTAATTAATTAACAAAACACTCCAATACCTTTGTCACTTTGTCTTTGTAGTGTTTACACTGATGAGGAAAAGATAAATGAATGTCAAGAACTCAAAATGATTTCAAAAGTCTCTTAATGTCAAGTGTGAGCAGAAAAGGAAGGTCAGGATGCAGCACAGGACTGTAATGTAAAGGCCAGGATAACATAAACAGAACAAAACTCCTTTAAAGTGAATGAAGCTCAGGTATTAAAGTAAGAAGCCACATGCAGAACTTTATATTGATGCATCATCCAGTCAGCTGTGTTCTACTTGTATTGACCTTTGTTCACTCATTGACAGTGACATTTCATAACAGCTACTTATTCACGTAACAAGCACCCCCCCCACCCCCCACCCCCCATTGATACTCACAGCCAGCCAAACAGAAGTCAGGCATGCATATATCCTCCCACACAAATGAAAACATCACTTATTGTCAGTGTCTATATGGTGGGGTGTGTGACGAAGGTCGAGCAAAACTCCATTTTAGGAGAAACTCTTTCTGTCACTACACGACTCGTGTGACAGCTGGCCCAGGGGTCATCTCCCTTCCTGCGCTTTTGTCCCTCTGCCCATTCAGCACTACCCAAAGCCCAGCGCAGCAGCAGCACAACACAATCACGGCCAAGTCCCGCCGGTGGACGCCGAGTCTGCATTTTAAGCCAAGTCAACCCTCAGCTGCTGCAGAGTGAATTTACAGCAAAAGCAGGAAGTTGTTCCACACTCTTCCCAAGACGCCATCAAATTGCAATGATTTAGCTGACACGCTCAAAGCTAAAAAAAATTTTTTTCTCCACTTTACCAATTTACAGACAGACTTTGTAATGACATTGTATAAATTTGCTGAAATGAACTCCCCTCTGTAAGGCTGGAAGAAATCCCAGAACACAAATGCATTTTTACTAATGAGACATGTCAGTCAGTTCTGACCACAGCAGTTAGGTTTACTTAGCTTTGCATCATAAATGCTTTCACGCTCCTGGTCACGTGTTTAACTTTCAGTGTTTCCTTGAAAGAATGCACATAGCCAGCCACCTTTCATGTCAGAGTTTCAGACTAAATTCATCTTAGGATGAGAAATGGCAGAGTTCTAGTCATTTTAGTCAAACCTTCAAAATAAAGTTATGTGCCATCTCACGTGATATTTTGAGTTGTCACTCTCAGAGTATGTGTTGGTGATAGGTCAATATCTGTATTGATCATTTCTGTGTTGGCTAATGTTTATTAGCTCTGGCAGCCATCTTTAATTAAATTAACTTCAACAAATTATCAGTTGTTGATGGACATCCAATTGTTAAATTCTGAGATTTTCATTAAAATTTTTACAGTAGTTCACAAGATTTTTTTTTGTTAAAAACAGAGTTGACACTAATTGTTTAATGGTAAAGATTCTGCCTGATGTTACACAGTTACATTTGGTTGAAATACTGTATAAGCTGTAAATGGACACCCAATAACTGCTTTCTGCAAGTTTCATTAAAATTTGTGTAGTTGGTTCATGTGGTATTTTGCTAACCGTTAAACAAACAGATACAGTCAAAACATTAAAATTTGTCCACACGCCACAGTAGCTTCACTGGTTGTGTTCTGCCTGATGAGTTCATGTGTGTCCTCATTGTAAAAAGTGATTTATCAGAGCCTTCTCTACTAAAAGTACTACTAATTACATTTTCAGTACTTGTTTGTGGATATATTGGTCAGTATACTAGCAATTAATCAATCAATTAATTAAACAGCATTCAGTGATGATGTTTAATTTTACAGTGGATTAGTATCTGGTTTACACTCTCCAATATACTGCAAATAATACAAGTGTACAATATATAAGTGAAATACTTTTTTATACTGTATTTAAATAAAATATAGTATATAAAGTATATATAATCTACTAATTTAAATAAAGTATAGTATAATCATTATAGGAAATGTAG